TTCAAGGCTCGCCAGCATTCCGGTGAAGCTTATATATTGCTAATGTATGCCAGTCTTCTAACTATATGAAAATGACCCCTTCGTGCATGAGCGGATAAAGACATTAAAAACGTGAACAATAAAGTACGTGGGCCGTGAAAAGTGTCTCTTCGTATTGTTTTATCTGCCGGGCACCTTTAAGCATGCATGCAGACACTTGTTCTCAAAGATTTCGAGCGTGCGGGTGATATTTTAAACGTAGAACAAGCATCTTCGCGCAGAGCATAAAGAATAAAGCGGTACTTCCTTACTTAAAATCGGAATATATTACGTGGCCTTCAATTTATTTTGATCGTGCATGCACTGGTAGTTACTGATCCTGTGTTACTAGTTCTTGCCGTCTCTCTTGGCTTTCCAGATGTCCTTCGTTCGTTTGGCACGTATAGCCCTCATGCTGAAAAGCGCCGACGTCGTGTTCGCGCTAACAGTGTCCGACAGTGCACATAAATACACGTACGAAGCCGTTTTAGCACCGTTTTAATGCAACGAATTTGAAAGAAAAACGCAGTAACTGACCAATTATTTCATCTGCGTGACTGAAAAATGTTCCAATGCAGCAAAGTAGAAATTTGGGCTAGTTGGTTCATGATCAGTATATACAGCGCCAAAAAACGACAGGACAAAGACGAGAGTAAACAGGACGAGGCGCACTCGCAACTAAAGTTTATTTAGGAAAAAACACATAATATATAGGCCGTTAAAAATGCCTATTCATCCCATCAATTCAGAAGACCTCTTGATAAAATCAAACTCTTTCCCTGAGAGGGCAAGGGAAGGCTCGCTAACGCATTCATCTCCCTTTGCTCTAATCTCAAACGCCTCGTGCACTTCTCGGCATATTTTATCTTTGTATTTCGCCAGAACCTTCACATCATGCAGAACTGGTGAGCACGGGCAGCGACTACAATGAACAGCTAGATTGCCAGACGGGCTTGCTCTCATAGCTGACGCATGTTCCCGTGCACGATCGTTGACACATCTGCCAGTCTGGCCGATGTACACGGAACCGCAAGTCAGCGGAATTTCGTAAACCACTCCGACGGCACACTCAGCATATTTGGTTTTATGTTTTGTGCCGCACTGCTCCATGTCTGTCTGGGGATTATTGATTCTACGGCACAAGCGTGCCATCTTTTCCGGAGCTGAAAATACTACGGGTACTCTAAACCGCTGTGCAACTTTCTTTAAATTATGGGACATGGCATGCAAGTACGGAATAATTACCGGTCTCGTTTTTGGCTTCTCTCTTGCCCGATTAGTTGCCCCTTTGAATTTTTTTAACAAACCTTCCGCAACCTCAGTCAGGCATCCTTGTGGGAAACCTGCCTTCTGCAGGCGTGAAATCTGTAGATTAAAGCTGTCTTGCACAGAATGTTCACAAGATCGTTTTAGGGCCATCTCCAAACACGTGCTAGCAATGCCCCTTTTTACTAATTTTGAATGGGCAGACTCGTACGGCAGGATGCATTTCTTAGATCTTGGCTCGTACGCCCAACATATGTGACCCTCCAGAAAGCGTAGTTTTAAGTCAAGGAACTGCAGTGTCCCTTCTACCGGCTTCTCGTGCGTAAACCTCAGACCTCCAGAACACGAGGAAAACACATCGAGCATCTGGGTTACAACGCCATCCAGCGATTGCTCTGCCAATTCGCTGAACACAAGGTAATCATCAACGTACCTATAAATCTTTATGCTGTTGTCGTGCCCCAGCTTCTCGGCAATGGTGTTGTCACATTGGCTTAAAAAAAATATCGGATAGCACCGGCGCGACACACGACCCGATACAGATGCCCTTCTTTTGGACGTACATATCACCTTGAAAGGAAACATACGTGTGCGACAGATAAAACAAGAACAGTTCCAAAAAACTCTCCGCACTGATGCCACTTGAATTGGCAAATGACACCTCACCGTTCCGTTCTATGCATTTTCTAACCCCCGAAAAGAGATGGTCGTGCGGGATAGAATAAAAAAGGTCTTCCACATCTAAAGAAAAAGCACTACGCATCCCATTAGCGTCTCCCTTCAAAAATTCAATAATCGTTTCCGAATTTCTAACCAAGAAAGGGTCGTGTAGTTCCAAGCACGACAGGTGTTTGGCGAGAAAGCCGGACAGCTGGGATTGCCAAGATCCCCTCTCTGTAACAATCGCTCTAAAAGGAATACCTATCTTATGCGTCTTGGCAGAAAAGAAAATGTCTAAATGGAGTCCCTTGCTAGATTGCACTCTTTTCAGAAGTCCAGGAAGGTTCATTTCACTGCAAAGTTCCTTAGCGCGCGTCTTGAGTTTTGTCAAAGCTCCCGGACTCACTTTCTTGAAGTTCTTGAGAACAGCCTGCTGAGCCTTCTCATGGTACAAGTCCCGCGGCGCCACTACAAAGCCACCCTCCTTATCTGACGTAAGCAGTTTTAAGTCTTGGTCTTTAAAGTAGTCTACGATGTGCGACGTTTTCTTGCACCTCACAGCTTGTCCCGAAGTACGCAAGAGCACATCAACACCGTCCGCCACGCACCTTTCCTTGTCTTCAGGGCTTGTTTTCTCCGCTATGCCTCTCAAGAGAGCCAGTTTGGCAACAGGTCGCAGCTTGGGCTCCTGGCTGAACTTGGGTCCCTTGTCCAGTGCTGACTTGATGTTGGGGGGAAGTACAACATCCCCGAGTGTAGCAACTAGTTGTTGCCGTGGTTCCCCTCGTTTTTGCGCCTAGTACGCACGATTTATTTGTGATATTTGCTCTTATAATCGAGCGCAGAGAGAAAATGCACTCGTTTTTTCCCATAGAAATGCATTACCGGAAGTCAATTTTGGATTGGTTGCTGTCTGCTTCAATTTGCGTCAGCACACTAGCGCCACTTGAACCTCTAGCGTACATTATAATAACTCTATGCCCATGGCAGCACAAATAGAGCAACGCTGTGGAGCAAGAATCGTTTTCGAAAACAAAAGTACAAGACAGCAAGATTGAAAACTTTGGAGGCGCGGACCATTTGGTCTTATGTAATTGGTTGACCAATCCCAATTAGGCGAGCCGCGCTAAAACTTGATGTCACGTGCAATTATTGATAATGAGCCAGACCACTGATCAGTGATGAGCACTGTGAAAAAGGCCCGTGCGTCTACTTTCCTGCACAACACTCGAAAACCCAATCACCGGAACTTACGGAGGCAGCTCAGCGAATGACGATGCCGAAACATATATTTCAACCAAAAAAGGCAGTCTGAGTTGTGACATTAAGCAGAGCAAGCTTGGCTTTTTGCGTTGCTAAATCTCACAACTCAGACTGCGTTTTTTCGTCTTAACTTATGTATCGGTATCGTCATTCGTTGAGCGGCCTCCGTAAGTTGCGGTGATTGGCTGTCCGAGTGTTGTGCAAAAAAGTCGACGCACGGGTGGTTTTAGAGTGGGGACCTGTGTGCGTGGTATTCTGTAAACCGTCTAACAACTTACAAAATGGTGTACCTCCCCTCCTTACCTCCCACCTGCTCCGTCGCGACTGGACGCTGCATCATGCTCGTTCCTGGACTGCGAGAGCCGCAAGTTACAAATACCGTCGTCACAGTAAAGTAAAGCGCTGCTTTAGAGGCACATACGGCCTCACGCACATTGCACTCGCAAAACACATCCACACAGTGTCGAATTTTGATCGGTATCGAAGCGTGCGAAGGCACAGAGATGCAGCAATTCTGCGTGCCAAGGAAGCTTTGATGACGCCGTGAGACCGGCGAAACTTGCTTTCGCGAGTTGTGGCTTTTACCTGAGGCACTGTGCTTTCGTAAAAAGTTCCACGTGTTCTCAACGCCAAGTCTCAAGAATTACGCAGGGTCTTAAGAAACTTCTTCGGCGAATGACGACGAACGAGTAGAAAACGTGTCTTCAGCACGCTTCCGCCAGTCTCTGCAACGCTAGCAAAACCGCAATTTGCCTATGAGAAAGATAGCCCCGTCCGGGGGCTTCACTCCCGCTGCAGCAACCAAGAGAGGAAGTGCGATCCAGCAGTTGTCGAAAAAAGATCAGTGGTTGCCTCCGTTTAACATTTGCTGACGACGAGAAAACTGAGTGACTGCTTTTGAAACGCAAGTTTCTTTGCTTGCAGGAGGAAGCTGTCTTCGGAAATAAATACAGTTCGCGGAACGCTCACGTTACGCTTTTATTTGCTGCTCCTCTAGATCCGTACAATAGACGTTGCGTCTTCGTTAAGGCATAATTGAGCTCGATTTGGTCGATTCGGGTTCGCCATTACAAGATGCAGGCGACGGAGGAACTTTGCTCCCCTGCTTTCATGACGAGAGTTTCTCCCTTTCAAAGGAACATAGGTCACAAGAGCGTTCCCCTCTTTAGGGAGGACTATAAAGACACTTTTTTCTAAGAGTGTATTGGCATCGTATCATTGTATCGCTTTCTGTCGCCTTTTTATGCTCCTTTTTAATTATTCTCGAAAATGAATCGCCAAAAAAGACAAAATATGCCCAAATAGATGTCGGCAATGTTTGTCGTCCTAAACAGCACCCTCTATAAGTGACGGCAGCAGAAAGAAAAGGCCAGGTGTGAAAGCGTATGAATGCGCACAGGCTTACTCGGTAGATGTGACCTCGCGGGTAAAGCACTGACCAGATCTATCTTGTTGACCTAATAATTGTAATTTCTTCCTAAGAAACTGGTGTATGTCGTTCTTTCGTAAAAAAAAACTTGCCCTCTGGAGACTTAGAGGCGAAGGGTCGACTCCGAGGGACGAACGACAACAGCTTTGGGAGACACACAACAGCGCATGCGCGGGTAATCGCCGCCTCGTGTCATTTCACCCGCTGCGTCTCCTGCAAGGGCGACGGTCTCTTCTCCCGCAATACTTGCAGTAAAAACTTTGGGTCCGCCGCGATACTCTGCCCTGCAAGCGGAGCGTATACAGTTACTCTAGTCGCAGTGAAACGCGAGTGTGTGAGCCGTTCTCGAGAGGGGCGTTTGTGGAGCGCAGGTGCTGAGGGACGCCCTGCTGGAGAACCAGACGGCGGAGGCGTTCGAGGCGGTGTGCCGCCCCAAGGTGGCCGGCACCCTGCACCTGGATGCGGCGTCCCGGGAGCTGTGTCCCCAGCTGGACCACTTCGTAGCCTTTTCGTCGGTGTCGTGCGGTCGGGGCAACAGGGGCCAGACCAACTACGGCTACGCCAACTCGGTCATGGAGCGCGTCTGCGAGAAAAGGGTGGCCGACGGACTGCCCGGTGGGTGTCCCTTGCTCCGGTCCACGGGTTCTCGGACTTTGCAATCCTGAGGAACTTGGGTTCCTCGAATATTCCATTAGTTGTTTTAATTAAAACATGGTTTCAGATTCACCTCGAGGTGAACCGTAATATTTTACTCGTTGAAATATTGATTGCGGCGACTCCGCTGGTATTGCTTCACCGCAGTGCACAGATGCTCCTTGAGAAGTGCACACAACGGGCCTAACCCGCCGCATTGAACGCTTCATCAACAAGTACAAATATCGCATTTCACTTCGAGGCGAATGTCGAATAGCCTGTCATTCGAAACTTCTGTTAGGAAATTTGAACATTCGCACAACAGTACTTGAATGACAGCTGACGAACTCCTCCTAAACTCGGGACTGATGCCATAAAGTGGTTGAGTAGCCTACAAATAATAACGTAAACAGTAACATATAAACAGTAGGGACTGTCTGGCTGATAGGTTTGCATCATTGGATGATTTAAATTTTCCGTAGTGATTACCGGCTGAAGTTCAGCTAGTTGGTACATAATTTAGGTAAATGGACAGCTAGAACGATAGGGACAAAACACAGACAGGGAGAAACTTTGGGTCCGTCGCGGTGTGTATGTCTCTGTTTCCCCCTGTCTGTGTTTTGTCCCTATCGTTCTAGCAGACCATTTACCTAAATAGTGATTATATTTGTGCAAAACTGTGGCTTAGGGGCAGGAGGAATCAGGGAAATGGTTTGGGAAACTAGGGTTGTGTTACGGGTTTTAGTTGAGCTAGTTGGTGCATACTGTTGGCAATCAGGTCAGCTGAACACGGGAAAAACAAGAACACGAAAGAAAGGACTGGACATTCACACCACTGACTAACAACTGACTTTATTTTTTCCTTGTCCCAGCCTAGGCCTTTTCTTCTTTGTCCTACGGCTTATTAAACACGTTTAAAAACAACCCTTTATCCTACTACTCAACGGGGTGTGCCAAACCGCAAATATTGGCGTTCTTTTTCGTGAACTCTAATGGACGAGGTGCACGCGCAATCTTCTCCTTTTTCTGCAATGGCCAAGGCCTCCAGCACTTCACGCTCGAAGGAGTTCTTGTTTCTATGAAGGACGGTTATGTTGGTGAGCTCTGCGTCACATCCACAGGTCCGGCAATGCGCTGACAAGTGTCCCGCTGATGTATTTTTGACCAACGCTGCGTGCTCTCTTGCTCTATCATTTATACATCGGCCAGTTTGGCAGATGTAGATCTTTCCGCAAGAAAGGGGAGTCCGATAAACGACCCCGGTTTCGTATTGGGCATACCGTGTTCTATGGGCTGTGTCACATATCGGCTGTTGATCACGTCCCTTGTTGACCCTGCGGAAAATGGCGTACGCCTTGTTCGGTGCCGAACAAACAACCTTAATCTCTTGCCTGCCAGCGATCTTTTTTAGTCTGTGGGTCACTCTATGGATGCAGGGCACAGCCGCGGTTTTGCATCGCGTTGATGGATTCGCCGCTTTCTCGCCGCTTGCTGCTCTGCTTGAGTTTCTTGGAGAGGCTCTCACAGACGCTACCTAACAGAGCGCTTGTGTAACCCGAAGCGCGTAGTCGAGCGATCTGTTTTTTAAAGCTTGTCTCACCTTCATGATGGCAGGACTTGCTTAGCGCAGAGAAAAAATCAGTACTGGCTACACTTGTTTTGATTGTCTTCGAATGGCGTGACTCGTAGAGAAGAAACTCCTTGCACGAGCGGGGTTCATAGCGCCAACAGTTTTGAACTCCAAAAGAAGGTCCAGGAACTTGATTGACTTCTCCAGTGGTAGTTCGTAATTAAGCACTCATTCCGGGCGACTTTTTTGGAAACAGATCAAAACCTTTTCTTTACATCCGTTCCCCGGATCTTCCACCTCAGTGTTGCATAGCACCAAATAATCATCAACATATCTAAAGATGAGTTTTACTCGCGCGTAATTCAGGTTCTCTTGAATGTTCCTGCCGGATGCTGCAAGGAACACATTGCAAAGATAAGGAGCGATCCGAGAGCCAATACACACGCCGCTTTTTTGTACGGAGTGTTGCCCTTGATGGGCCACCACTGTCGCTGCCAAGTACAGACTGAGTAGTTCCAGGAAGGTGTCCACGGTGATTCCAGCCAAGTTTTGGAATGTTGTCGTTCCTTGCTCATCAATGGCTGCTCGAAGGATCAACAAAAGGCCTCTGTGTGGTATTGAGTAATACATATCCTAGATGTCGACTGACAGGGCAGAGACGACATTACATCAGTGCTCTTCTAGATAACCAATAAATTGTTCTGAACTTCGTATCCTGTAAGGATCTTTGCGCTCAACCAGGGACAGCTTTTTATCCAGGACGGACGACAAGTGGGTTTGCCATGTTTCCCTTTCCGATGCAATGGCCCTAAAAGGTGCGCCATCCTTGTACGTCTTCACCTAGAAAAACACCTCAAGGTGCCCCATGTTCGTCTTTTTGATTTTTGTACAAAGACTTTGCACTTGTCCGCACCATCGCATACAAAGCTCATGATGAAAAGGCATCACAAATAATCAGTGAAGGAATGAACTGCATAGCAGGCCAAAGAAGCCAAAGGAGTCCAATATCTCTAGGTATTAATTTTGGCTCCGCGGTAAATGAGCTTCGAAACAAAGATCTCAAGCTCTGCGTGTCAGACAAAGAGGGTGGTTTTGTTGTTCTAGATTTTGGGAGCTATAGAGACAAGGCTGCCGCAGCCATGGCCAAAGACTTCATTAGTGTCGAAGCAAAACAAAGCAAGGGATCTAAACAGGACAATGTGCAGCTACTTGAGAGAGACCACCTGAGCAGTCTTTGTACAAAAATCGAAAAGACGAAGACGGGACACTATGAGGTGTTTTTCTCAGTGAAGACGCACAAAGATGGCGCACCTTTTAGGGCCATAGTATTGGAAATGGTAACAAGGCAAGCCCACGCGTCGTCCTTGCTGGCGAAATAGCTGTCCCGGGTTCAGTGCAACGATCCTTACAGGATACAAAGTTCAGAACAACTTATTGGTTATCTAGAACAACATGGATCTGGTGTCGTCTCTGCCCTGTCAGTCGACATCCAGGATATGTATAACTTAATACCACGTAAAGGCCTTTTGTTGATTCTTTGAGCAGCCATTGAAGAGCAAGGAACAACAACACTCCAAAACTCGGCTGGAATCACCATGGAAACCTTCCTGGGACTACTCAGTGTGTACTTGGCAGCGGCAGTGGTAGCCCATCAAGGGCAACACTTCGTACAAAAAAGCGGCGTGTGTATTTCCTCTCGGGTCGCTCCTTATCTTTTCATTGTGGTCCTTGCAGCATCCGGCAGGAACATTCAAGAAAACCTGAATGACGCGCGAGTAAAACCCATCTTTAAGTATGTTAATGATTATTTGGTGCTATGCAACACTGAGGTGGAAGATCCGGGGAACTGATGCAAAGAAAAGGTTCTGACCTGTTTCCAAAAAAGTTGCCCGAAATCGGTGCTTACTTGCGAACTACCACAGGAGAAGTCAATCAAGTTCCTGGAACTTCTTTTGGAGTTCAAAGCAAGCCAGGTCTGTTGGCGCTACGAATCCCGCTCGTGCAAGGGGTTTCTTCCCTTCGAGTCAGGCCATTCGAAGATCATCAAAAAAAGTGTAGTCAGTACTGCTCTTTTCTCTGCGCTAAACAAGCCCTGCCATCATCAAGGCAAAAAAAAAAAAAAAGCTTTAAGAAACAGATCCCTCGACTACGCGATTTAAGTTACTCGAGCGCTCTGTTAGGTAGTGCATGTGAGAGCCTCTTTAAGAAACTCAAGCAGAGAGCAGCAAGCGGCGAGAAAGAGGCGAATCCACCAACGCGATGCGAAATCGCGGTTGTGCCCTACATCCATGGAGTGACCCACAGACTAAAAAAGATCGCAGGCAGGCAAGGCATTCAGGTTGTTTGTTCGGCACCGAACAAAGCGTACGCCGCGTGCTGCAGAGTCAACAAGGGACGTGATCAACAGCCAATATGTGACACAGCTTATAGAACACTGTGTGGCCAATGCGAAACCGGGGTCGTTCATCGTATTCCGCTCTCTTGAAGGAAGAGCTATATCGGCCAAACTGGCCGATGTTAAACGATAGAGCAAGAGAGCACGCAGCGTCGGTGAAGACTACATCAGCGGGATACTTGTCAGCGCATTGCCGGACCTGTGAATGTGACGCAGAGCTCACCAGCATAACCCTCCTTCATAGAAATAAGAACACCTTCGCCCTTCGTGGAGTGCTGTAGGCCTTGGTCATTGAAGAAAAATAAGAAGATTGCGTGAGCACCTCGTCGATTCGAGTTCACGAAAGAAAACACCAATATTTGCGGTTTGCCACACCCCGTTGAGTGTTAGGCTAAAGGGTTGTTTTTAAACGTGTTTAATGAGCCGTAGAACGAAGAAGAAAAGACCTAGGCTGGGATGAGGAAAAAGTAAAAGTCAGTTGTTAGTCAGCGGTGTGAATGTCCAGTCATTTCCTTCGTGTTCTTGTTTTTTGTTTTTAGAGCGCAGCTCTTAGGGGCCCGTTTCCAGCCTGAGCGGCGTCGGCGTCGACGCAACCGGGGAGGGTCACGTGATCCCCGAGGTCACGTGACCCCCCCCCCCCGAGGTCACGTGACCCCCCCCCCCCCCCCGAGGTCACGCGACCCCCCCCCCCCCCCCCGAGGTCACGTGACCACCCCCCCCCGAAGTCACGTGACCGCTCCGAGGTCGCGTGACCCCCCTAGGTCACGTGACCCCCCCCCCCCCCCCCCGAGATCACGTGACCCCCCCGGGGTCACGTGACTACCCGCATGTGACGTGACCTCCCTCAGTACCCTTCCCTACTCCTCCTCAAGAGCTGCGCTCCAATTCGGCGTTGCAGGGATTTGTAAACGGCTTTCATTTTTTTTTCGTTTTCAGCTGACCTGATTGCCAAAAATAGGGTTGTGTGATTATTCTTTTAGGGGTTTCAATTAAAATGCCTCTGGGGAGCCCCTGAGTTCCTATGAACCAATAGGCTCTGGCACATGGTGTAAGATACTCTTCTCTGCATATATGGGAGATAACATGTTATGTTTGCAATCTTCTCGAAATTGCAGCTAGTTTAACCGTCTTTTTTAAAAAAAAATTCGCGCACTCCGCCCCAAAGAGTGACCCATGTCGCTCGTCACAACGATGGCCAGAACTGCCGGAATCGCACAAAACGTGTGTTTCCTGGCACGAAGCATTATGTTAATGTCGTTTGTAAATTTCATAGTGCTACACTTGTTCAGAGATATCTCAGTGACAAAAGTGCCATCCACGGTGTAAAACACTACTTCCGCCGGGCTGCGTGAGAACACACTGCACGGCGAATGATTCGACGTGATCGACTGCATAGAGTCCTGTTGCCGTGTGCCCAAATAGCCAATACCAAGAGCGTCACCGTTGGGCGAACGGCGCAACTGAGTAAAAGAAAGTGTTGTGTTGCCATAGCACCCGGGTGCAAGCACTTTCTGCTTGGTGCATCTGCTCTGATCTCAAAAAACACTGGCTCAAACGTTGCGTCAAAAATCTCTGCACTTCAATGCGTTGCTCTGCCAACCGCTAATCGAGGCACAAAACTGGGGTCAATAGAGATATTTAGAATGATGTACAGAAATATAGGGCACACTTGTCCTAAATGTATTACTTTTTGCGTCCACACGCGTGATACCCAGACCTCTATATCTGGCCCCCTGGTCCCGGCAAATCGTGAACGATTCTTGTACATACCTGAAACGCAAGATGCGCGAAGCTCGAAATCTCTGTCGATAGAGAGGAATATTCTAGTGCGCTGAAGGGGTAACTCGCGCAAACTGGACGCGAGGCGGGACAGCCCCTGTTGACTTCCCTCGTCCCCCCAGGCCTGGCCATCCAGTGGGGCGCCATCGGCGACGTGGGCGTCCTGCGGGAGACGATGGGTGCGGACGTGGGGGTGGGCGGCACGGTGCCCCAGCGCATCGGCTCGTGCCTGAAGGTGCTGGACCGCTTCCTGCGTCAGGGCCACCCGGTAGTCTCGAGCCTCATCAAGGCCGACTTGTCCGGGGCCACGACCAAGGACAAGCACGACCTCGTCCAGTCCGTGGCACACATCTTCGGTAAGTCCTCCCCCTCGTGCTCATCGTGGGAGGTACCGAGACTGGTTCTCGCACTTGCGCCTACAGAAAGGAGCGGTGCAACAATGTTTCTACTCTGAAAAAATGTCATTTAGAATTAATAGCTTACGGTTACGACATATGAAACAAGCGTTCGCTTTTAATGCGGAAGCATTATATGCGCTATTACGTTAAAAGGTGGCGGAGGCGTTGTGCCCGAAATATGCCCATAAAATACGTCATCAAGCACGTGCCGCTCCAGGTCAAAGCGGACGCACCTCAGAAATAAAACATACCAGAAAAAAAAAAAGAGACGTTTACAACTCCCTGTAATTCCGAATTAAAACGCAGCTCTTGAGGAGGACGAGCGGAGAGTACGGAGGAGACAGCATGCCCCTCCTCCTCATCCGTTAACGCTCCTCCTCCCTCCTCATCAACTCCTCCCGTGCTCCTCACCTCCTCCCCCTCTTTCACCTCATCCTCTCCTCCTCCCTCCTCTTCCTCCCACATCCTCCATTCTCCACCTCGCTCCTTCTCCTCCTCCCCCTCCTCCTCCCTCCCGTACGATGCATTATGGAAAATGTTCAATAATGTAACGCGCGCGTCACCGCGGTGCACTATGGGACGTTTTTCATAATGCACCGCACAAGTACGCCAACGGTGACGGCGATGCCGACGCCGACGCCGCTCAAGCCGGAGACGGGCGCCTGAACGCGTGACCGCACTAGCGTGAACGGCGCCGCCAATCGGCGCCGTTAGGTGGTGCCGCAGTCCCGCGTCCCCACGCAAGGAGTCCACATTGGCCTCCGTTTTGCTGGCGTCACGTGACAACACTGGCTTTCGCGATCGCGCGCGCGCTTCCCGTCAGGTTTCCCGCTCTTTCGTCGTCTGGTCTTTGTTACAAACTTCCATTTCGGCTCTCATCTTTCGGATATATCAGCATCAAAACCGCACTCGCTGCCTACATGGCAGGTGCCCAGGATGCCCTGGTGACCAGCGTGAATGTGGTTATCCTAGCCTGCTCGTTGACCTTGCGACGTTGCCGCGCTCTGAAGGGAAGGGGGCACAGGTTTTGGGTCCGGCGGAGTTGGTTCTACCAAAACACCGAAAGACAGATAAGTGTTTTGCTGGCCCGGCGCCGCGCCAGAGCTGAGGGCTACTTTCGAAAGTGACACCAAATCAACATGACATCCGTCACAACACAGACGACATGAAACAAGCGCCACGGAGAAAGTCACTCGTAATTCCGAATTCCTCTCCTATAATTTCGCAGCGGTTGTTCTTAGCGGAATTATCTAGGTAGTGTGGCTGTGTCTTGTCATATAAAAAGGGAGACCGCCGCGCAGTTTCAAGGAACCGCTCCGTTGGGGAAGGCATCGGGGGAAAATATGGATAGCGGACGACACGAAACAACGCTACGGTCTTCGAAACGCGAAACACGCGCGGAGCACCAGCTGGAGCGTTGCCATGGCATCGCAACGTCACCATCTACGCCACCTCCCATTGGCTGCTCTCTTCTGCGGCGTGGAGCGGCGAGCTCTGTACCGCGCAAGGAGCGGTTGGCTCTGTGGCGCTGTACGTCACGCCGCTGAAGCCCAAATCTGGTTTTGGTCGGCAGCCGGCCGCGCCGACAGTCGCGCCGCAGGCCTCCTCGACGCCAATATGGTCGTGCCTTAAAGGGGTTATGACACGTCAAAAATAAAATATTACATAACTATACTGCTAGGACCCATTGTATGTTCCTATAATCCTGCTAAATTTGTTTTGAAAAAGGCGCGATAATTTCGTGGATAAATCGATTTATATGCGGGCCCCTCGGAGGGGCAGATCCGGGCGGACCTGGAGGCTGATGACGTAGCCAGCCTCCAGCGTGGTGTCTACTTGCACGCACTCACAGACTCGGCTCTCTTGGCGTATCGAGCCTCAGCTTCCTCGTTTACCTTCCACGTTTCCAGCATCCGGTCTGTGACGATTACGTCTACGGCATCGATCGCCTTGTCGAAGTGTCCGGCATTGATCGCAGCAGTGATGAGAGTGATTGCTATCAAGAGATGTTGGAAGCTGTTCATTTTGACTGTGACCCGCTGGCGACGAGCTCCAGCGACGACGAGTTCGCCGTGGTCACCGTCGTCCGGGAATGTCTCGCAGGCGCAGGCAGGGTCGAAGGTCAACCGGCCGGGGGGCGAGAGCGAGAATAGCTTTCAGTTTACCAAGCTGTTTGAGCGGTTTTGTTCGTACCGCGACGGAGAAGAGCCTGGGCGATCATGGGGGCGCCTAGAATGAGAGAGTGTTCATGGTCACGTGGTTTATGGACACCATGGTGTGGCTAACTTGAGCAGTGTTGCCTGGTCGCCAGATGAAAATTATAAAAATTCGTAAATTGAATATTGCAATTATCAGAGCTCTAAAAATTGCGTAACTTGGTGTATATACTAAGTAGCCTATGGGCATTCCATTTCAAGAATAATCTACCCGTTTAGTTTTCGTGTCATAACCCCTTTAAGAGCTGCAATCTAAAAAATGCAGAGCACCGCAGGTGCTTCGTCGGGGAAGCCATGAAGCTGGCGGGGTTAGCCGCGACTGCGCAGTGGGGGAGCGTGATGTCAAAACCAGAGCGCGGTTTGCAGAAGGAAGACATGGCGCCCTCCCTCGGGCGCCTCAGTTGCGCTTCGGACTTGATCCGGGTTCAATGTGTGCTTCGTGCGAAGGACCGTGATGCGACCGCGTCTACGGCCTCGACATCGGCAGAAGCATCTACATCTACGGGGGCTTACGCAGGCATGCCCTCCCCTCCTCCTTCTCAAGAGCATAGCTCTTGAGAAGGAGGAGGGGAGGGAACGGAGGGAAGGGTATGTCGGTCCTCTTCCTCCGTACCATCCGCCTCCCCTCTTTCTTCCCTCCCTTCTCCTCCTCCTTCGCTCGTCCTCATCTTCCCTCCTTCCCTCCTCTACCCTCCTTCTCTCCTCCCACTGCCCTCCTCCTCCTCTTTTCCTAGTCTTTTGTACCTTTTCTTCCCTCTCCACCTCCTCCCCATACCTCCCCCTCCTTCTGCGTACCCTCCCATCCTTCTCCTCCGTACCCTAACCTTCTCTTCCTCCATACCCTGCACTCCTCCCACACTTTACCCGCTAAATTTAGCTGAAATATTAGGAAGGTTTAGGAGACCGTTTTCGCAGCCCGCTAAGCACCCGGATAGCGCTCCGTAATCCTCTACAAGACCTTGAACTGTGCACATGGCGCGCATGCGCAGCTGCGGCGTTTTCTTTACGGATACCGTAGCGGAGGAGAAAAACGATCCACTACAACTCCCTATTGACGCCACCTGACCTGAACGCGAATTCAGTTTCCCCGCTAAATTTAGTGGGAAAATACGTCACGTGACTTGGTGTCACGTCACCTAGGCACAAACTCAGTTTCTCCGCTAGATTTAGCAAGAAAATTGACGTTACGTGATATCAACAGCTATTCAATTCCTTGATAAATTTAGCGATAAATTGAAAGGGTATTGAGGCCACGTAGCGTCAGTTTTCCTCCTAAATTTAGCGCGGTTACGCCGACACCGCGAGACTCGGAAACGGGTGCCTGAGAGCAGCGCTCTAAAACAATTAGAAGAAACACGAGCAGCATGTTTTCTCTCAACTCGCAGCCAGAACAAGCGGCCACGTGATCTGGAACCGATTATATGCCGCAAATGTTTATCATAGACCGACGTTGTTAGGGGTTCGGCTAGTGTCGTCATTGCAGCGATTGGATAATAATAATAATAATAATAATAATAATAATAATAATAATAATGTTTATTTTTTGCATGTATCATACTATGTAGAAATACGGGTCTGTCAAAGCCAGTTGAATGACTTGTGGGACAGCACCCTTCACTTCATGAGTACAAAATGTCCCTCTGATTTGTAGTTCCCGACTCAGGCACTGTTACCACGCTATGGTACTGACGATGATAATTAAAGAAAGAAAAGAGAGAAAAAGATCACGTTTGTTAGCGTTCACGCAAAACACACACAGGGTCACGCACACACACAGACACACAAATTCATGATGTTTTGCTGAGATCTTGGAGTGCTCGTTTTAGTTTCTTCAGGGAGTCCGCATCATAAACGTCGTCTGGTAGGCTGTTGAAAATCGCTGGTACATAGAAGGCCCGAACCTTCTTCCCATATTTTGTTGTGACAAAAGGTACCTTAAATCGTTCTGTGTGTCTAAGTGATCTAGTAGCCACATGGGGTATCTTATATATATCGTTCCAAAAGTACTTGAGGACTACAGTCTGAACCAAAAAAGCCCTGAAGAAGGGCAAACCTAAGTTGGCGAGTTTTTCCTCTTCGGTTTGCAACGCTGGTCCATAGACAATGCTTTTAAAAATGCCTTTTAAAATTGTATCTAATTTTTTGTACCAGACTTCAGAGCTATGTCCAAATATTGTTATACCATACCGCAAAATTCCGTATACTAATGCTTGAGCTATTGATTTTTTTGTCGAACTAGGTATTAAGGATCGTGTATTGTACAGCAAACAGGACACACTCCGCAGTCTTCTGCAAAGCTGTGAGAGATGACTGTTCCATGACAAATTACTATCAAATTCTATCCCAAGATATTTAACCCTATCAACGTAAGTTACAGGACTGCAGTTGCAAGAAATACACCCAGACGTGTGCATGAAAAGCGGATGGTTGGACGTTAGAATTTTAAGGGGATTATGAAAACAGGCAAGCTTGGTTTTTGATACATTTATCGTTAGACAATTTGCTTCAAACCAGTCGTGTAAACGGCAAGTGTCGTTTTGCAGCGAAGTGATTGCAGTAGCCGGATTAAGGTGGACCGAGAGCAAAACCGTGTCATCCGCGTATTGGAAAAGGCTACAACCGGAGATTGCTCTGGATATGTCATTAACAAAGATGTTGAAAAGGAGAGGCGATAAAACAGATCCTTGGGGAACCCCGGCCTTTAAGTCAATTTTGGAGCTTTGGTTATTGGCTATAGAAACT